ATGTTGATGACCCAGTACCTCTTTGGAAGGATTTAAAACGACAACAAATGCTGCTTCGACCTCGACTCACCATGTTTCAAGCTCACCAATCTTGGCGAGTCAGTCCTATGTCAAATTCTCAACACCTGCTGTGTCGCACGTCTCTTTGGTTTCGAAAACACCTGGAGCTAGGACCCAAAACTGCCAACTGTATGGTTCGGTGGGGAAGAAAAACACGTCTCCAGTCTTTTCGAAATGTTCCACGGTGCAGGGGCAGCTCACCCCAGGAAGAGGTCAGGGTTTGATAGGCTTGGGTCATATGTATGTTGGTCAGTTTGCATTAATTAAATATGGTCAGTTTGCAAGCTGACCAACATCCAAACCGCTGGACCACCTTGGACCGACGAATCTCAGGGACCTAGCGGAGCCAGGTGGCCAGGCAGCTGCGGCAGATGTGGTGTGCACCCCGAGCGGGTTTGGGGGAGCCACATGGAGCCACGGCTAACAGCTCCCTGTTGAACCCTTGCCATGATTGTGGTGGTAGCGGGGGTAGGGCATTTTTGGGGTTTCCATGAACGATTGGCCGATTCCGTGACCGGACCAGAGTCGCGAACATGTCGCAGTAGACGAGTCAGTGACCGGAAAGTCCCTGGGATTTCAAGGAGGGTCACTTTGAAGGTCCTATGGATGTGTATGGCATGCGTCCTTTTTCTCCCGAGACATTGAATTCATTGACCCTGAAACCACCCCAATGTATAGTAGTAAGTAATTGTGTCAGTCCCGTGGAGTGTTTGGGTACTGGTGTCTCTTTTGGAATTGCATCGCCGACCGGGTGGGCAATGGCGTGTCTTTTGCAGAGGTGATTCTTCTTGGTTTTATGCCGGTTGATTGTCAAGGATCTATTCTGGGGGTACTACTGTAATGCAGCATGGTGTTCCATGTACTCCAATTGGAAACACTGCTTCTTTTCGAGACAATATCATGTAAGCCAGTACACGTGTCCTCACTTACGTAGCAATGCCCCTGTCCCTGTCTGTTAATATATATATATACATATACAAAGTTCTGGCTCAAAATCGAGGGATTTTGCAGAATGGTGTGGGTGGTATGGACCAAATACCCAAGGTTCGTTGTCACCTACGACCTGCATGGTGTGGGACTCCGCATAGACCTGGGACCTGAGACCTCCAATCAGGCTGTGCCTGTGGACGTCCACCGTGGCAAGACTCAGAATGGGGGGTTCCGGTCTGGGGAGTGAGCGAAAAGGGATGGTCAATAGATTCACATCGCATGTGGGAAAACAATCTATACATCAATATATAGTACGTGCATGTATGTACTTAGCACTATGTGAATCACAGCCCACACCAACTCCAGGTGGTCTTTGGAGATGGACTTCTCGCCAACTCCCTCACACTGTGACCTGCAAACCGTTTGCTTTCAGAGAAATGACTGGAGGGTCTGTCTTTGACTGTGGTGTGTGCACCTTCACTTCTGACGCAGCTGCTGCGATCACGTCCAGAGTCTAAGGTTTCTGCATCACGATGCCCGTTCAACCGGTCTCAACATACCGAATCCGTAATCGGTTTGATTCCACTGTCCCGGACATTTGCTGCACCATCTGTCCAGCAATATCATGTCCAGATGCTGAGAATCCAGATGTTGAGAAATAGCTTATGGCCTTGGGTGGAGCCATCCATCCTAAGCGCAAGAGATCAAATCCCTTGCGTGTGTTGTGCCAGGATTGGGTCTCACAGCCATGAGACAAGGCATTGTTTGATAGACTCATGGCCACAGACACCGTTCGCACCAAGAACTAGTCCCAACCCAAATCAGTGGGTGCATCCCGAAAGCCTCTTGTATCTGGGTTAGGCCATGTTTTCCATCAGGCCAGGCCTATCCAACAGTCTGACCGGATCTACTCTCATCTATTTGGATCGAGGTTTTGGATCCCTTCGGTGGGTGCTGTCGTGGTCTTGGATGCTGATGAGGCTCTGGATGTGGTTTGGAGGGGGAGAGCAGATGAACTCAGCTTTCGTGCTCGAGAGCAGCGGTGGTGAAGCCACCGAAGTGGTCGAAAGCTTCGCCAAAAGTGGTCGAACACATTCAACAAGGGGAGCACACCAAGAATCCACCAAACATGGCACTTGGAAGCGCAAACCAAGAGCCGAATTCTGTTGAGTTTCTGTTCACTAGCCTACAGGTCTATGATGGTCTACGTTGAAGTAGGCACGCACAGAAACCGACTTCAGTGGGAGGGTCGCCATGTTCCTGGATTCGCCAATTTGGTTGTAGGTCAGGATGGCATATTCAGCAGGTCGCGAACATGTTAAGGGTCAGCAACATGGGCAGAAATCACTCACGCATTGAAGAGATCAAAATCATGCTACCCCTCAAAAAGACACAACTTCCATATGAGTTATAGTTAGTTATTTATATATAAACGCTTTCACAACTTCACCCCCCACCACTTCACTATCCGCTCTCAAAACACGGGGGATGTTCTTTTTTATGTGTGTTTTTGACACTTCCTCGCTCGCTCTTGCTGGAGTTTGGAGTTCCGGAATGAAAGTCCATGGATCCATCTCTCTCTAGTCCAATGTCCATGAAGTCCCAGCATCGATGGTGGATCGGTGAAACTACCCCAGGCTGGAGTGGATCGAGATGTGTCCCACTCGAACCTCAAACGGCTTACGACCAGCAACAAAGTACGCAACATGGAACCTGAAAACCGGTGCAGTATCTTCCTGCAGGTCACATGCGTCTTCCTTACAGGTCGCCCGGTTCCAGAATGGAACATATTCAAGAAACATGTTTGATATTCCATTTTGAAGTCATCTCCTGGGTGTACTTGGCCATCACATGTAGGTCGGCATTGCCAGTAGGTCCTCGGATCGCCTGTTTCACGCCGATCTCCTCAGCGTGATGGGCCCAGGGCCTCTCGCCACGGATGTCCTCTTTGAAGGGGCACCCTGCTGGTGGCATCGAGGACGAAGGATTTGCGATCGAAAAAGTGGAAACAAATCCTTAAAAAAGACCTAGGCACTGCATGGGACATGCATATTTACCTACCATGGTGAGGTTCAGGGGTTCAGGCATATCATAATATATTATAGTATAGTACATATGGAGGAAAACATCTCGAGCACTCAGGAAGTTCTTTTTTTTCTGTATTCCCTTCGTCCGACAGCGAGAAATTGGGTGTCCAGAGCTTGTCGGTCCGCGTAAGTTTGGTGGGTTTGGTGTCACTGGCAAGCTCAAAAAGCAGGGCATTGGATTGCAGCTCAAACATATTAAGTTCATGTGTTTTGTGTGTCAAGTTCATGTTCTGTTTTGTGTTTGTGTGTTTTTGCGCATTCATGACATATCTCCGTCCAAGGTGATCAAGATGACCCACTGGGTCAAGCTATAAAATGACACCACAGACCTTGGGAGCTCTCAATGAAGCCCTATTTGTAGCACCAAAATCAGGGCTCTTTCAGTGTAAAGTTACACTTAAATGGATGTAGAGTCAGAGGGAACGTGGGAATCTGGAATCATTCATGGTTATATTTTAACATTTTTTGGGGGAATCGTTCTATTCTATTTGTCTATTATCTATAATGTTTATACAAGATTCAACAACATAAAAAATGACAAAATCAACGCATGCTCATGAACTATTGATAGATATATCTATGCAACAGGGATTCCATGGTTTCGTTTGTTTGAGAATGCAGTCAACAGCTGCGGGAAGTCCGTCGCCAGGACGTCTTATGCAGCGAGCCCTTGCAGCCGGCGGATGTGGTGGTGAGCATAGGCCAGATCAAACCGAAAGTTGTTTAAACGATCTGGCGCCAGGGGATGTGTTTAATACATGTGGTCCAGCCAGCCGATGTAGATCTTCTTCTCCACTCTCAGTTGGTCCCTACACCAACTCTGACCCGAAAGTGGTATGAAGTGGATGGCCCAATGGAAAAGGATACTTAATTCTTCTTTACATGGCGAACCTTTCCACTTGGAGAGTGCGCCAAACGCTGAACGGAGCATGCTGATATCCTCCGTTTGAGCTGGATCTTGGTGGTGTACATGTAGACTACTTCCACAATCATGGAAGTGCCTGTTTGTGGCAAATGATCATCCAAGGGAGTGGGCCATGGCCATCCACCTTGGCCCATGCCATTTTTTAGGGAATCGGTCGTCCGCCGTCTGACGCCGTGGTCAGTCATCGGTGCATCGGTCCCGGGGTTCCCGAAACAGGGAGGTTTTTTCACACACGATGAACAGGTCAAAGACCTCATTTGACTGGATCCGGTCATGACTGGATCCAGTACTCAATGAGGTCGGACGGACCAGGTTAAACTTGGCCTTTGGACTTGTAGGGCACGATGAAGTGTTCGGCTCCAAAGACAAGGGAAAGAGAATCTGTGATAGTAACATGATGCAACGTCATACATCGTCGTCACTATCACGTGATAGTGATAGGATCGTGTGCTGCCTGAGATGTATATGTTGCAGCGCATGATTCGGCTGCTGCGACACACAGTCGACTGCAGGAAAGCTGCTGATCCACTATGTTCATAGCTTGGAGGAGGTGGGGTCGATGGGTTGCCTTCTGCGGCGGTCACAACGATGTGCGAGGATGTCGTGACTGGGGAGGGAACAGATAACGATGCATGAAAGTCATGAACACCAAAGAAGTGGCCCAATTGACCACTTGATATAGCCATAATAGCCAATCATCCGCAAAATCCCACTTATCTTATACTTATTTATTATACCCTAAATAATCAAACACCCCGGATCCATCGAACATGACGGCGCTTCAGCGTACTCCATGCTTCGCTCCCTCGCAACTGTGATGGCTCAGCCAGTTTTGACGCCCGAAGAAGCTCTGGGTCCCAGGCGACGCGTGAACAGCGACGCGTCCGTCGGACGCGTTCCCTCGCGAAGAGTGTGGATGCGCCGCCGCGGGGATGCATAGGGCGATGAACAGCGACGATGTTAGCGCGACGAAAAGCGGTTTCAAGGAGCAGACTTGAATGGACTGGCGCTTGTTGGCGCTGGGGAGGACCTGAGGATGGCAGGTGGTGTGAGGTAGCATCAAAGCTAGCTGTGAAGTGGCCAGTGGGAAGTGGGAAGCTGCAGCCATTGACTGAGACCTTTCACCAGGTACTGTAGCAGAGTGGTACGGGCCCGGTGCGGGTCCGCATGCGGATGGTTTGCGCACGCCTGGAGTTTCCACCAAAGACGTGGCCTGTTTCCTCCTAAAAGACTTTTGTAACTTGTCGGACAATGTACACCAGGAGCAGATGAGGCTGAGCCTTGGGTACCATCACAATTTAAGGTATATCCTGATCTCAGTTTTGATTCTATCTCACCGGGCTCTTCCAACGTGCTTTCCGGACCTATTCTCTTTTCTTGGCACCACAGCTCCCTCAAGCGCCTCAAGCTGCGCCTCAAGCTGCGCCTGGCAGGATGAGACGGAGCCGCAGCTGCCTGGTAGCGCTCACCGCTCCTGTGGCCTTGCTATGGCACCTTTGGATGCCTGAGGCGGTACCCTGCGGACCCTGCGGACCCGTCTCCCAAGGTCGCCGAATTAAGACACTTTTTAGCTTGGGGGTTTGAAGTGGACAGTCCAGCTTCTTCCAAGTGGCCCCTGTTTGTGACGCACACGCCTAAGGACCTCAAACCAGGAAATCAAGTTTGGTCACTTTAAGGCAACCAAGGTCAATCGGGTTTCTCTAAGGAACCTAGTATGTTCTTCAAAAAGCAACCGCCACGCTCGGGGATTGGACTGGACCAACCTGACGCACTGCGCGCCGGCTTGGTGGCCGCACCAGGGCTCGCCGCTGGCCTTTTTCTTTGAGTCGAAGGAGGACCCAGTAGAGCGCACCAAGAGACTTCTCAAAGAGACGGACGCGGTCTTCTTCGATGTGGATAGTATCTGGGAGCGCACGAGCGTGGCATGTGCGGTCGTGTCGTGTCGCCTTCGGTCGGTGGTGAAAGACCTGGCGAAACACGGACGACGAACGACCCTCCACTCACCTCTCCCAAACACAGAGAAATAGAGGTGTAAATCAATGGCTTTCAATTGAAACTTTCAATATAGGTTTGAACGCAGGGACGGCCATGTTACAAAGACCAATGGCGGCCAGGCAGACCACAGCTTCTCCCAGGTACTGTGGTGACCACCGAGGGTATTGACCTCATTGGAAAATGCTTTGGAATCATGTCCCTCGGTGGGCCAAGATGTTTGTTATGCGCCGAGCGACCACGACGTTCCTGATGCACAGAACGCAGAGCGCGTCTTTCGTGCACGGAACGTGTTTCCCCCAAAGACCCCTTTTATTCAAGTAGCTTCTTGTTTACTAATAGCATCTAATAGCACTGCGCTTGTTCCGTTCGTAGCGATGCCCTTAGCCACGGTCGTAGCTTCGCAGCTTCCTAATAGCACCGGATGTGTGGCGAAGCTGTGAGGAGAATCCGCTGGGTCCCGCCGTGTCATGTGGCGCTTTTTATCCAGGGTGTTTTTCGGCTCGGTCCACTGGGTGACCCCTGCATTTCAGAAAGTTGTGCTGGACACTCCGACACGTCTCCAATTAAGAACTTTTATATAGGATTGTTTAGGGGCTAGCAATCCCTTACAGTAATTAGAGGAGATCTGTTGCAGTGTCCTCGAACTGGTCGTCCATTCACTCAAGACCCACTTGCCAAGTCTAGATGCTGATCCATCGCCGTCGTCTCAAAATGTGTTTCGATTCCAGCATGCTAAAGATGGAGCACAATCGAGAACCCCAGATGTATACTGTAGATCATTGGCCCCCCAAATGCACGTGTTTGAAGATATTGCTGAGCAATGAATGCCACGTGAAGCTAAGGAAAGAGATCTCTGAGCTCACACACAAAGCTATGAATGGAAATGTCAAGTTTCAGGCTCTTGGGTGGCCCTGATCCTATTTGAGCAATGTCCAGGTTGTGGGGCCATCCTAGCAATGCGCTTGCTTTCCGTCAATGGGAAGGCTGACTAGGACCTACTAGGATTGCAAACGGTGAACATTGGCAAATCCAATTTGGAATATAGAAAACACCAACAATCACCACCACATAGTAATTATAGGGTTGCTGCTTCCACTGGGAAACTCTCTTTCACAGCCCCCCTATGAACCCAAAGGTTCAAGACCGTGCATCGTGAACACGTGTGAACCTGTTGAACCTGGGCCCACAGCTTCTGCCAGGACGCCATGGCAGAGCGATTACAGCTGATGGCGGACCATGGCATGACCAAAGAGAAGTTGGAAAAATGTGTGAAGACTGAAGGTCGGGTCGAGTGCTCCAGCGGCTTTGGGGGCCCACGAATCGTGGATTGGAAGGGTTGCGAAGATTCAAGTGAAGTACCCTGAGCATCGGATATTGATTTATATCAATCGAATCCTAAAAAAATGCTGATATTGATGTGCATCGTTTCTCTTGATTTTTCTAATATTGTGTGTTTTTCTTCTTGCAACAAAATGTAATTTGTTTTGATGGTTTTGATTGATTTGGATATTGATTTTGGAAGTACATGTTTTCTGCACATCGTTGGCTCAAAGTGCTTCACAGTTACCAGATCACCCTCTTGACAAAAGGGGGGCTGACATCCCTTTTGACCAAACGGGGATGTCCAGAGGCGGCAATAGGCACAATGTTAAGCCACAAGTGGATGAGGGTTTGCTGGTGAAGCTATTTTACCAGCAATCCCAGCTGATCAAAGACCTGGGGCCATATGAAAAGATATCAAAAACCCAGGCCATCAACCCTAAGGGATTGATGGCAGTTCTGCCCTTGACAAAAGGGCTTTTGGAGCTGGAGAATACAGGAGAGATACATGGACAATGCCTAAGGAAGGCCCTATTCCAACTCTTGTTGGAAGAGCCATCATTGAATGATTCCAAATTCTCTGGTGGTGTGTGGGTAGGATTGAAGGTTGAAAGGTTGGGAGTTTTGCTATATCACATGAGAAAACTTGCAAACTCCAACCTTCAGCAATGTGCTGCCAAGCTCAGTGGCTTTGAGCTCTTGCAGCTCAAAGATGTAGTGGAGATGATGACAAAGAAGGTCACCCTTGACCAAAGGGTTGGAGCAGATGACCAGGAAGAAACAAACGAAGATGACCATGAGATGAGGGCTCTGGCAGCAAGGATGCCTTGACAAAAGGCTGTGCTCTTGAGAATGATGCCCTCTTGACCAAAGAGGGTCTTGAGAATGATACCCTCTTGACCAAAGAGGGTCACCCCCCCAGCTTCTTGAGAAGACGGACAGGGCAATTGGCCCTAGCCAATAGGGCAAGATCAGATTTGCCAACCAACAATGAAGAGCTGAAAGAAGAGCTGGACATCATGAAGAGACCAGCAGGGAAGAAACAAGCAAAAAAGAAATTGAAGACACCTAGTTCCTTGACCAAAGGATCTGGAAAGGTAAAGAAAGAGAAGCATGAAAAGAGTACAAAATCAAGTGCTTCTGCTGGTGGGAAGTCATGGGCAAAGCTGAGAGTCACAACTCCAAAAAAGCCACCTTGGAGAGTTTACATTTGTGGCACCAAGGCCAAGGGTGGCAAACGCAAAATGTCTTTGATTGTGCAAACACCACATGTTGGCCACCCAAGGTATGTGGAAATCATGGGAGAAATCAAGCAGAAGCTGGAGCAGGAACACCTCAGCAAGCAAGAGGCAATTGATCTCAGGGATCACTGGTACAAGACCTGGTAGGTTGATATCTTGACAAGTTTTTCCTTCCACTAGGCTGTCGAAGCTCTTTGGCAGGATCAGAGAGATCTATCAAGCCTTCCAGATCACTTCAAGACTCACCAACTTGAGGCCAAGCATGGTCTGGGACATCTCAAGTCCACACAAGAGATTTCCATGCCTGGAGGCTAAGGCTGCTGAAACAAAGTACCTCATGCCCTGTCTTGAAGCTGTGCTCCAGGAATCTTTGCATGCAAAGACTGAGATTCACAAGACCATGTTGGGGTGCATTGGTGCTTTCAATGAAGCCATCCTACATTTCGACCAAATTGGTGCCTTCTTGACAAAAGAAGAGTACAATGTTGGCATGAACCTTGTCAAAAGGTTCTTCTCTTTGTATGCAGATCTGCACCATTGGGCTGAGTCCCAAGACAGGAAACTTTTCCATGTGACTTTTAAATTTCATGCCTGCCTACACGTGTTCATGGGCACCAAATACATGAACTATCGATTTCACTCCAATTTCAGAGGTGAAGACTATGTGGGGAGAATCTCCAACCTTTGTCTTGAGGAGGCTGATCCTTGACAAAAGGAGCCACATGCTTGAGGATCCTTGACAAAAGGATCTCTTGACAAAAGAATTCTCACCAAATTTGTCAGCCCTAGACAATAGGGTTCGAGTAGCTCTGCGAGCCCCAAAGATGGGCAGGAGGAGTCCAATCTGGAAGTGAAAAAGCATGCTTTGCTTGCCTTTTCAGTATTGATTTTTGCAGTCTAAAGCATACAAAAGTGTATTGATTTTGGAGTGTTTTTTGATGTTGATTCCTATGGCTCCAAATCAATCAAAACTCTTCGACTTAAAATCAACATCAATAGATTCTGTAGAGTATTGGTTTACATCAATATCCGATGCTCAGGGTAAGTAAACTAAATGACTAGCAAATCGACATAATCTATAGACATCATCTCAATACAACAGGAAAAAGTCGAAGCTGCGATCTGCAAAATATGGCGAAGCAGATCATCTCAGATTGTTTTCCAACACAGGTTGAGTGACCCTATAGACTATCCCATAGGTACCCCAGTAGGGTCCTATAAGGTTACTTAACCTCTCTTGGTTGTTGATTTCAACCGGATGTGAAAACCTTTACCTGTCCATTCCTGCAGTTTCCGTCGACAGGTGTTCCCAAGTGGTCGCCTGGAATCAAAGAGGTCGTGCAGATGCTTCACAAGCAAGGGACTGATGTCGCTTGTTCGACCTGGGTGGGCGTAGAGGCGAGAAGGATTTAGTAGGAGCCAACACGACCTGGGCCAAGTTTTGAGTTTTGCAATGTTTACACGGCCAGTCGCGGTCAACTGCCACAGCCCCATGGTGGTTTTACGGTCGATCTCCTGGTTCTTCAGTCTACTGAGCTTGGTCTCAGATTTCGGCACACATCACTATCCGGGATGACCAACGCCTTTGCTACGTGACCAGTGCAGCAACCAGTGCAGATGCTGACACAGCCAGCCACCGTCCGGCCACTTTTTCGGCCGAAACCGGCCGCCGGTCGGTGTCTCCAGCCTGCTCGCTTCCCAGCTGCTCTCACTCCAGGTTCCCATCTCGAAGGTTGGACATGGTTTCGTGGTTGGTTGGACTGTTGGACTGTGCGCTCAAAGAGGGAGGACTCCGAGAGGACCCGCTGGGTGTAGTCTATTTGGGGCGGGGAAATTTTATCTATTCTTTTCTAATGCACACACAATGATTATATAATATATATGTATATATAGATATATTATACATATACATGCATATGATCATATATGTATGGGTTTCATGTGAATCCAGCACTGCACTGCGCACCAGTTCGCGCGCCTGTGAGGTTTATCTAGTGTCCGGGGGATTCCAGAATATGATCAAGCCCATTGCGCTGCTTGGCTAGTTTCATTTGGATTGAGGCACGGGTGTGTGGAACACACACCTGCTTGCCAGCTGATATCCCGATGATGTTTCTTCGGTTCAACACGTACTGTAGTACTGTAGTGTAGCTGCTCCGTGTGGTTTGACTTCCGTACTGCACATTGTTCTTAGTCTTTTATTTTGCCAGTGTTTTCCAGGTACATAATAATTAGTCGCAGTCGGTAGTCGTCATCGGTAACCAGCCGGTACCATACTTGTCTTTCGGCCTTGTGTTTGGAAGGAACGCACAGGAACGCACAGGAACGCACGTTGAGCTAAGTGTCGACCTGTCGAAAGCATACGAGCTGAGAGAAGGAACAGGTCAATCCATTAGAGATTAAGTGACCTTATTATAGGACCCTACTGGGGTACCTATGGGATAGTCTATAGGGTCATTCAATCTGTGTTGGATTGGTTTCTTCCTTTAGCCAGTTGTGTTGGGGACGTACTTTGGGGCCTGAAGCGCTGGATAGAGGTCTTGACAAGGACTCGACCAGTGATGACGGTAAAGAACAACCAAAAAGGATGAAAAAGGCGTTCCATGGTGACGAAGAACGCCACGTGTGTTTTTACGATTGTATGGTGTGACTTGTTAGAAGGCATCACTATCAAATGCTCTTGCCGCTCGTTCGTGTGACTCCTAGCCGTCGTGGTTGCAGGGCATCCGTTTGGTGCACGGAATCGTGTTGAAGATTCGGACTGTCGGGCCATCACTTCTTACAACTAATGTCAGTGTCATGAATGAACATACACAAAAGGCTACACGGAGAACGGAGAACTTCAGGTCAAGACGAGAACCCATATACATGAATCAATGATAGGAATTGCAGACACCCGGATCTTTCCAGTGACCAAACTTGATCCCTTAGTTTGAGGTCTACCAGGGACTCCAAAGTAAGGTCACTTGGAAGGTCCTGGAAGCCCTGTGTGTTTGGTTTCGAACCATGGACGTCCTTGACAGGAACGGACCTGTCGGATGATCCCCAAAGCCAGCTGGGAGGGACCGAACGAACGACGAGTTTTGGGATGTGGAAGATGTTCCTCGCAGAAGATGCTCGCTTGGCAAAAATCCAGGTTGGAGTTGCACATCCCACAGAAGATGATCTATGCGATGCTTGACATGATGGGACAGGTGCCAGGGGGGATCACATGATTGACATGATGTTCATTCACTATTGGATTCCTGCTCGAAGGATGTAAGCATAGCACGAATCGAAACGCTTTGCTGTGCCATTGAAGCTGTCTTTTTTGGCGGGAAGGTGCGACACCTGCAACACAGATGCATGATAGCTCATAGTGTGAGCAGGCACAATGACAATATTTGTTTGTTTGTGATCATTGCTCCCTCCCATGAGAGTCATGTGAAACAAGTGAAATCAGTGGATTTGTTAACATCAAGTGTAATTCACAGGGTTTGTGGGCAAGCTGCAATGAGGTCCAACCATCTTTACAGACATGAAAACTGGGCAGTCATACTGGGCCCAAGCATTGCTTGAATTCCACTTGCTGCGCTCGAAGAAGAACCCATCCTGGGTCATGGGATCCCCGAAATCTCTCATCAACTGCCGATCTCATCATCTCTACCAGATGGCGATCTGACCTGGTTTTCCTTTTGCGACGGTATTTCAAGTGCAGAACTCCGAGTGCAGTCACAAGGCGAAAGAAGCCTTCAAGAGTGACAGTGGATAATTTGGCGTTTGAATTGCCGTGCACCTATATCAGAGGGGTGCGATATGGTGCGATCAAGCCAAGCGAGGAGGAAGTGCGCTTGTTGCCAAGCGAACTTAACCCATTCCAAACCTGGATAGTGCCTACACTCACAAACTTAAACCGGCCTGCAGATCCATGCTGAGTCAGTAGTTTGTCTTCAATCCCCAGCCGCTGCCACTTCATGAACTAGCTGTTGACCGAAAAAGAACTACCCGAGCTATCCCAAGCTGGTAAAGACATCGATGGCCCAGTGCATGATGGCCGCACAGTTTTTGACCCTTGCTTTTGTACCCTGCATGTCTTTCATCCACTGACAGAGAAACAACCGATGAGAAGTGATTGATCATCCTTTCCATCCACTCCTCGTCGTCGAAAGGAACGAGATCCTTTTTGACGAGCAGGGCAACTACGCCGGCTTCGATCGAAAAGCTCCGACGAGCGCGTCTGGAGGAAAGCCAAAGGTCCTGAGGCTGATGATGCTGGCCAGCAGGGTATCCGAGGATATGTTCACGGCACAAAAAGGCGTATCCGAGGATGGTGCGGGGCAGGACAAATTGCAAAGCACCTTCAACTTGGGAGATGCATGTTGGACTTGCGGTGCAGGTTCCTTGTATGGTGCTTCATGTTCCACCAGATACGGTATATATATGTATATATATGTGTGTATATATAAGGGGATCCCAGACTTGATCAGCGGTTGAGTTTGGTGAATGTGTTGGAAGGCGTCATCAGACAAAGCTTTTGGCCCTTGTCACGAAGCCCTCCAAAAGGTTAATTTTGGAGACGCACCGATTTCTTTGTAGGAATTGGCACCACAGGAATAATTTGAAAAACACTGAAAAATGCTTGAATGTGTTTTTTGTTGTGAATGATTTGTGCATAGCAGTGGAATCTATGCAGCCACTCCTTTGCACCCCCACAAGCGAGCTGGTGCCAAGGTTTTTCATTCTGTGTTCCTTGACCCGTCTTTTGAACGCATGTGCTTTTGCTCTATCCATCTCTTGGATATATTTCGATATGGCTGGATAGCATTTTCAAGTATATATAGATGGAACCGACATGGAACATGTTCATTTCAGTTGTGGGTGTGACCACTTTCTGTGACTCCTGATTTCCGGAATAGAAATTGTTTTGGGAACAGAGGTCCGTTTAGAGGATTCATTTGTACCGTCCTGTTTGATGACGGAAGAGTGGATTTGCTCTTGAAAAACGGATTTGGATCCAGAGTTTCGCTGCAACGGCCCTCCGTTCGTTCGCTGCAACGGCCATTTGTTCCGAGGAAGCGAAGGAAAGGTTACAAGAAAATGATCATGATCGGGGATGGCGCAACCGATTTGGATGCCCGCTTGGAGGGACCTGCCAAAGCATTCATTGGCTATGGCGCCGCGGCCGAATTCCAGCGTGTTCAGACCGAAGCGAGAGCGCCCGGTGGCCGGATTCCCAGATGTAATTCATGGAACAACCAAACATTGTATTTGAGTGGATGAACTGCATCGCTGACTTTGCCCCAGTTCTTGCACCGCATACGGGCCCAAAGCAAGAACAGACCAGTCGAACAAAAGTGGGTGTCGAACATCGGTTCCTGGTGGGGGCCTTTGGGATTCTTGTTGCATTTGTTGCTGTGTTATTTGTGTTTGCAGCGTCGACACTCAACACCCAGAATGTTCTGACATCGTATGATATAGTTACGTATGATATGATAATATATAATACACATCTTTACTATCTATTAATATATACATTATGTAATATATCATGTAATAATAACCAATACATTATAATATATTAATATACATAATATACTATATAGAGAACGTTTTAAAGTATCAACATGAACTGTAGAATTACATAGTTATATAGATTATTATTTAGATTATTATATTATATACCCTGCGCGGTTGCGACGACCAAACCCTTTAAACCTGTAGGGTCTTGGAAGCCACTTTGGGTTTTGCTGGCACCACACCTAAACCCCGGGTTCTTTGGCAAAACCTTGGGTTTTCCTTGAAGCTGCCCAAATCAAGGTTTTCAGGCATCCTACAAGGGTGGAGGCAATTGGTTCTCAAGCACATCCTGAGGTTCTTGGGGAGGCAGAGCCAGCCTCAAAACTCAGATCTCCATGTTTTCCACATTGCCACTTCCATTAAACACGTGGCTAATTACACTTGTTGGCAAACAAATGATTGGAAAATATCGGGTTTGGTGATGAACCCTGGGCTTATAGACAAAATTCGGAATTCTGCAACCTGTGCCCAACCGTACCGAACCCGTGATCTACCCATGCCAACGCATGATTTTACTACTGTATGATACTGTATGGGCTAGGAACGCCTCCCCATGTCCGCGTTGTTGCAGGTTTTTGAATGTTTGCAAAAGATGTGGTTGTGTCCTGACGCAATCCAATTATGCATTTGTGTGGACCTGGATAGCACATGAAGAGATCTCAAGACACTTGACCGAAAGTGTGTGGGCTATAGCTTCTGAATGCTTCCACCCGCTACCTCAGCAGAAAGAAATTGAACACCTCAGGATTACAAGTAAACCCTGCATGTATTGTATGAGGCTTTGGTAGGCTAGGGTATATATTAATTATAACATACATACTGTAGACATAATGTATATGCAGAAAGAGAGAGAGAGAGAGAGTCGAGAGTTGATCTGTGAGTATTGTGTTCAACTTCCGAGCTTGAATGAGTACCGCTCGAAGCTCTTTGGTTGTTGAGATTGTTCGTACACTGAGTATGTTCTCATTAATGAGAAAGAAATTGCCACAAGGCACCGTTCTTTCACCTGATTGATTTCCTCATTGTTTTTGCAATTTTGCATTGTTTGTAAACTGGTCCCACTGGTCTTCGGCTGTTTTTCACCGGCGCTGGCTCTGACAAAGGTGGTGTCTCGGTGCGTGAGAAGGTCAAGAAGAATGCAGATTGGTTCATCACCAGCTTTCAAGAAGTGCTCGCAGCTTGGGCAGCACAGAAGATGCCACTTTTTGTCAGGAAGTGCCAGCGCAGAAGTGCCCGTAGGGTTGTTGTCTGGTGTTTTTGTCAAGGTCATGCAGGCGGAGTACAAGGTTCTTGCTGGAAACATTTACGGATGCAATCTAAAGATTGATGAAAGGTCCTTTGATGCGAAAGTGTTTTCAAGGTTCACAGCCGTTCTTGGTCAACAATTTCGAAGACTTTAACATGGGGCTCGTTAAAGAACATGTTCTGTTTGGTTTGGCGATGTTGTTTTGTTCCGTCTGCTGGCGTGTTTCCCAATGCTACCAGTTAGGGTCAAAGTATCTAAATCTGCGTGTGTGTGTGTGTGTCTATCTACATATATATATATATATTATACACGACTCCGCCACGTGAGAGTTTGCCAAAGCAGCTTCCGGATCAAAGGAACTTTGATCAACCCTGCACAGAAACCATTCAATCAAGAGAAAGGAATCCCAAGCACAGTTCACTGTATTTCGTATCATGTTCAGTAGATCCGGATGTGGCAGGAAGTTGCCACGGATCACGGATCGCAGTGCCTGTCACGAACGCGGCTACACGTTCGATACCCACTCTCCGTGTCGGCCCGACTCGGAAGCGAGACGTCCTCGGCTTCAGACGTTGGCCCCTGGGTCTGTCCATGTCTCCGATGGCTTCAGACGGTGCAGGGTGCAGGTTTCAAGGGAAAGACAGATAGATGGATAGATAGGCCTGATAGACTGATAGACTGACAGATAGGTAGGTAGCTAGATAGATAGATAGATGGAACACTTGTGGCTTTCGTTTGATTGCAACTTATGTCACACGTGTGGCCGTGTGGTCTTGCCTGCTACCAGACTTCAATTGCACAGCTCTCAGCTTGCCAAGGATGTTCTGCCCAAAGGCACTGATCTTTGAGCTGAGTATGTTTGACTCAGGCAGATCAATCGATATCCTTTTTGAATCGACCAATCGAGTTCACATCGATAGTTCAGAGGGTCTATGCTGGGGAGTCACGCTGAAACTTGCAGCATTCGACCCCTCAGTCGGATCGACCCGTTGGGCCGTGCGACTGGCAACGGGCGACTGCGGGTTGGCCATGTCATGTCGGATGTCGGATGGCAGAACACGGCAGGGAGACTTCTTTGGAAGAACCGGCAAGTTCCTCAAACACGGCAGGCAACAAGAGTCCAAGGTCCCCTCAAAATGGGGTTCTATGGTCGACCAATGATGTTTTCTGCTAACGTGCCAATGCCCTGAATAGAACCAAACGATCTTGTTTCTTGAGAATAGAAGTGACGACCTACGCACCATCCACAACATGCATGTTGGGGAGGTCTAGTAGGTGATGATTACGGAACAAAAAAATTGGTATAAATGGGTCACTCAGCCAATGTGAAGAACAAGTCGCGATGTGTCACGTGATGCCCAGTCAGTGGGTGCACTATCGCCCCTCAACCCTCCAAGTGCCTAGGAAGTCCTGTATCGTTTTCTGGAGTACTCTAGAGGGACAATAATCACACTAGACATATCCAGTTGCAGGACTATGTTGGTCAATTCTCAGGTGGTATGTCGGAAAGAAAGAAGAAAAAGGATAGAACAGGTATGAGTGATGGTAGCGCTCATGTAAAAAAAGGCATCGAAAGGCACCCAGACACAAAGGTTTGGTCAGTGTTCCTGTCACTGTTGGTGTGCAGTTCACTGTTCAGGTTCTTTCTATGTCCGTGTCCAGCTCGAAAGATAAAAGTTTAGATCGGCCTTTTTGTCATTGGTGTAAACTAAGTATGGTGGGTCTATACATACAATACATACAATGGTGGGTCTAAGTATTTGTTCTGAACATACAATCCTGTCTTCGGCTAGAAGAGCTGCCTTCCTCAATCGTCACGTCACGATGCGGTGCCCGACCCATTCGTTTCGCTAAAAAAGACGAGCGGAAGACGACGGGTGGTTGCTTCGAAGGTCGACGTTGCATCTTGACCCGGTTCGTGGTGAAAGGCAACGATCATGGATCTTCATGGATCAACCAGAGTATTTGTAAGAGTCGTCTCAGTAGTTGTGTATGTATAACACTACATTTTTGACCCTCAGCTGATTCAATGGGAACAAGAATGACAATGTATTTATTTGGTTGAACAAACACGCAAAGGATTTGCTGTCAGAGAGAGCCACTGGTCAACAGGCCCGATCCCTTCTTGGGCCTCCTCATGTTCAATCAGAGGGGAGGCCAATATTGAATGGATGGTCACAATGCCAGCCAAATTCTATGATTGCATATGAACACAGACAATGTAATGATGCTGTATTCATAATATGTATATATATAGTTATATATATACTTCAACCGCTTGTACTGCAAGATAGTAATATTGTTTGGGTCTCAAACTATTTTGTTTGGAATTCACAACACTGCTTGGATGTCCACTCACACACCTCATTCAAGTCTCTCAAATTCACCTCCAGCTTTGCCTCAAAAACGCCTCAAATGGAGGCAGTTCCTTAATCTGAAGCTACGAACGGAGCAAAGGGCTATGAGCAAGAAGCTGCGATCCGGGCTCCTGGCCATACCCTACCATCAGCAAGAAGCTACTAGGAAAAGTCGCTCAAGGGTTCTGCTCTTTCGGTCGGGAACGGCACGGGAACCGCAGGTGCTCAAATCTGCCGAGTGACGCCCCCGGGAGTGTCGAGAGGGACAGGACAGAAGGACGAAGCAGTGAAGAGGATGGACCTTCGACCGCTTCGGTTTTTGGAGCGGACCGCATTGACCACGCGTCCTGCATGCAGTACCTGCTATAGGCTTATGTGGACAACAGGGACGTTGTCCTATAGGTCTCCGAAAACGTCCGAAGACGTCCTTTTCATGTTCCAAACCGAAACGACCTTCCGCTCTTCCCCACCGCTCTTCCGCTCGGCTCGGCTCTTCCCCGCCGCACTTCCGCTGTGACGGCGTGAGGTCCGGGGAGCGCTTGGAACTCGTCGTGGGGGATCCCGGCGACGCGTCCGTCCCGTTGCCCGGTGACCGGTGACCGTTGTTTCTACCTTAATTGAGAATCCGGCTGTCCATGGCAGGGGTCCGGGGCCTCAAAACCCTATTTGAGGGCCCGGATTCTTAGGGTAGTAGCTTCTTGTTCCGTTCCTAGCGATGCCAGGAGCCCCTAGTATTAATTAGCCCTATCGTAGTAGCGTCCGATCGCAAACCGTAAGATTCGTAAGGCCAGGAGCCTCTAGTAGCTTGTTCCTAATGATTTGGTTCTGGAATGGGATCTTTGGTTTTGAGATGTTTTGAGTCTGGACGTGTTCCACCTGCAGGTGGTATTTTGGGGGAAAATCATGTCGAACATGTCGAACAGATGTGGAACAAACAACCATATGCGTTTTCGGGTGGAATTGGATTTGGTCGGCTGGGGGTTGTGATTTGTGATTAGCTGTGTTCGACGAGTGGTTCATTTCGAGGAGCTTTAAGCTTGTAAATGGCTGTGTTCTCTGAACCTTGCGTGTTAAAAGAGACAGGACAGGTATACGAATCCCGGACTTGATCTTAAACTACCTCATCCTATTAAGGGTATCCATGATATGACGCCCTCATCTTCAACTAGTAAAGTAAACTCCGGCGCGAATGCGTACTAAGTTTAACCAGGGTAAGTAGCGTACTTTTGCTACTAAGTTTACTCGAGGTGATCGAGATGATAGCATTACGTTGTTGCGTTTTTTTGAACATATGCATTGTGAAATCCTAGCTAGAATAAGCTTTGTATTTTCTAAGATCCTAGGGTTACCAACGTAGTCGGAAGCTCTGGATTGCAGTCAAAGCAATCTGCTCGTTTATAGAAGACTTTTGCTAGCCTGGCTCATGGAATTCTCGACGAATAGTTGGTCCTGGTCAATTGTTGGGGATTGGAGATTGTGCAGTCTTCCCCGCTATCAAGAATGTGTATCACTAGGTCATCAACCACAAAAAAGGGTGTCCGAGTCAAGATGAGTATCTCGCGACACCAAGAATTCTCCTGACCACACATCACTGGTTACAAACCACTCCAAAGAGTCAGCTTTCCCAAAGACCTCAGTCAACTCTTGGACCAGGAGACCGAAGCTTTGAGACGTTGAAAACGCCCAGCGCTCGACACCGAAGTCCTCGTCCTGGCCGCCACGCCGCCTGGGAGGTTCTCAGACCACGCCGCCTGGGACGCTATCGCTGCAGAGGGAACGAGGCCGGGCGAAATCACCGGCGATCACCGCGATGGGGACCGGTCAGCCGGTCTGCCGCTGGGTGGAAGACAGAAACACCAAGCAGCACGAAGGAAAACGCGAAGGAAAACGATCCACTGACGGAAAGCCATTGGTCGGGCGAACTCCGGACCCGACGTCACCCTGGTTTGTACGGCAACATGAATTCTGAGTTCTCGCATTGGTCGGAGGGATGCATTCGCCATGAAAAGTCGTGAAAGAGAGATCGAAGTAGGCAAGATCCCCATGCGACGAGCTCTGCGCTATCTGAGTGTTTCTTTGCACAGGCAACATAGAACTGCGCATGAGAACACATTCCAAGTAAACAATACCTAGACCATCCTAGACTATCCTAGACCCTCATTAGGCTATGCGGCAATGGTTTATGCAACATATTATTCCCAACATCTTTTAGGATCATTTAGGTAGAAAATTCTGCCTCTTTCACAAAAACAAAGACTGAGGCTAGAGCCTTGAGGGTCAAAAATGCCCCCGGCTCAATCATAATCACGTGCATCCAGTCCTGCCTACAGAAAAGTTGCAACGGCATGCAACAACCCCCCGCGCATGTCGCAAGATATGTGTACGTTGTATTCATGGAATTCGATCTCCGCGCATGTCGCATACACTCATCCTCGCAGCGAGACTGCGCAGCTATGCGCAGCTATTGAATGCCATGTAATGCCTAGTCGTCCACATTTCCTCCAAGGAAACATACTCTGCAGCCCACCTCTTCGGGACACGGTGTCGACCTTCGACACCTTCGACACCCGCCCAGTGGGGCCGAAAGTTACGCCGGTCCAATCGAACGAAGCGAACGAAGCGAAAGCCGCGCGAAGCTGGCGCTTGAGCATCACCGCTGCGAGCTTCGTGCAGCCAGCCGGTCTTCTGCCCAGAAAACAACAAAACTGAACTGACCATGCCAGGAGTTACATGTCGTTCAGTCTCAACAAGTGAGTGGATATTGGGCACACCTATCCGATATATCCCTATCCTCCAAGTTCGGCACCCCTTGGTGACTCCTGGATACTCCTGGTACATGATCACACTCGGAACTTGTTCTTGGGCAGAAACTTCTGCCGATGACGGGTATATGAAAGTACATTCTTTTGGGTCAATGCTCAAATAAATAAGGATCCACCCATCACTGGTTCCGGGAACTTCCATCACTAACATTGTTTCATGAGGCAGTCACTTAATGCTTCAGTTGTGCATGCTTTTGAGTACGTTGTTAGTATAAGTTAGATGTTATTTGTGTTTCTATGTGTTGTTGCATGATATTTGCGTAGTCGTTCTTTCCGTCACGTAGGCGTACTTACTTGTTATTTTGGTGTGATTACCCGTTCGCCCTTCACTACAATCAGTGGCTTGGCTGGACAAAGGAATCGTAGTCTTTTGAGGGGGAGTGAGAGACTAAAAAAGAAAAAAAAACTTTTAGACCAGAGACTCGCGTCAGGTGGCAAGCTTGTTTTTTTCCAAATGGTGTTCTATTCTTGTTTTGCCTCCTGTACATTAGGATTTCGTCGAACGGTTGAATGCTGATAGGAACTTCACTCTCTCTACAACATAATATACTTTAATATAATTTTCTACATTGTTCCTGCAATTCAATGGATGCTCAGAATGTCAATATGTAACAATGGTTATTACATATCATTACTATGATATATAGTGTCGTTGAACGTTGTTGATTG